TACGGTGCACGGAGAGAGCCGCTCTGACACCTGAGGGAAACCCTAGCTGTTGTCTTGAAGGGCAAACTAACCGGCGCTGTAATGTAACCGATTGCAAAAATCGATATGTCAACAACGTGTCAACAAAATCGGTTATGAGTGATCGGAGGCGACACAAGGGTGTGAAATAGTCTTTTGTTTGAATTGGTTCTACTTCCTTTTTTTATATGTTGTTGTTTTTGTTGTTATTGTTTTTGCTATTGTTTTGTTGTTATTGTTTTTGTACTAGTAGTAGTAGTTTTGTTGTTGTTGTTGTTGCTGTTGTCGTCGTCGTCGTCGTCGTCGTCGTCGTCGTCGTCGTCGTCGTCGTCGTTATTGTTGTTTAAAAAGAACCGACATGAAATCCGTCACTTTTCGGCCGAAAGAGATTATGACAAACCAAACAGTAAGGAAATGAAAAATATAACTATAAGTATAGTATAAGCGCTTACAGTTGAGATCATGTTGGAAGCGGGCTCCTTCGAACATACCTGTCAGGTCCAACCTGGCTCAGTGGGAAAAAAGCAACTTAGAAGGCATACAGAGAGAGAGGAGGGGGAGACAGAGAGAGGGACAGAAAGAGACAGAGAGAGAGAGAGAGAGAGAGAGAGAGACAGAGAGAGGGGGGGGCAGAGAGAGAGGGGGGAAACAGAGAGCGAGACAGACAGGCAGACAGACAGACAGACAGACAGACAGACAGACAGACAGACAGACAGACAGACAGACAGACAGACAGACAGACAGACAGACAGACAGACAGACAGACAGACACACAGAGAGAGAGAGAGAGAGACAGAGCGAGATCACCTGTCAGCTTTACCTTGTTCGTCCATTGATGTCCCACCCTTTGCCATAACAGGCCTCCATTTTTCCAGATCTTTGCCGAAATAAATTTTAGTCTACTTCAAAAAGTTTGGGACAAAGATTTTCAACGCAAATAAAAACATAGCTACCCGGTACATGGTAATCGAACTCACTTTTGTTTATCCAACGAAATAGTCCAACTGCTGTAGACCATTGGAGCATCATTTGGGTTGGTAGAACTTAAACAAAAAGTAGGAAAATATAACTCTTTGGCCAGCATAATATTTTTTTCCGCCTGTGAATAATCCTCACAGAGATTTTCTGGGAAACGGAATGAACGACTACTTTCTGAAGAAACGGATGTTTTAACAGTACCGCTACCTCAGAATTTCAAAATTCTATCTATACAGCACCAAGTTTTGGGAAATTTGACATCAAAGACTTTGGTTTCACATCATGTCAAACTTTTTCTAATGCAATTCTTTGAAAATCTTGATATCCTAAAATTCTTATGATTTTGACTGAGCATATAGAACATTTAATTTGGTTTCTGACCTCATGGTCTTAGTAACTCAGAACGGCCGAAAATGTCAGATAGAACTTTGTAATGCTAGGGCAGCACAATGTTTGACAGTATAGACCGAGCAGCACTATGGAATATACTGAGACACCATGGAATCCCACAAAAGTTGGTGAACCTCATCAAGAGCATGTACGAAGAGACAAGTTGCAGGGTTGTACATGATGGCCAGCTCACTGACAACTTTGACATCAAGACTGGTGTGAGACAGGGATGTTTATTATCACCGTTCCTCTTCATATTGGCGGTCGACTGGCTGATGAAGGAAACCACCAGCGGAAACAGAAACGTTATACAGTGAACCCCATGGACACGGTTGGACGATCTGGACTTTGCAGATGACTTGGCGCTTCTGTCACACATTCAAGAACAGATACAAGCAAAAACAACAATTTTAAACACCCTATCAGAGTCTGTTGGATTGAGGATCCACCCCGGAAAGTCGAAAGTCCTAAGGATAGATGCATTACGAAAGGACCAGGTCACAGTACAAGGACATGCACTAGAAGACGTAGAATCCTTCTGCTATCTTGGGAGTATAATTGACAGAGAGGGGGGAACAGGCGCTGAAATAAAGTCCCGCATTGGAAAGGCACAGACTGCATTTATTTCTTGGAACAGGATTTGGAGGACCAGGGATATCTCATTACGAACAAAGCTTAGAATTTTCAACTCAAATGTGAAGTCAGTCTTGTTGTATGGATGTGAGATGTGGAACGCATCCCATACGTGCATAAAGAGGATCCAGGTTTTCTAAAACAAATGTCTGGGGAAGCTATTGAGGATCAAATGGACAGACAGGATCACCAACGAGGAAGTATCAAGAAGAACCAGACAAAGCCCAGTCAGAGATGAGGTGGGAAGAAGACGTTGGTGATGGATTGGGCACACTCTCAGGAAGTCAAGCAGCTGCATAACAAGAAAAGTGTTAGATTGAAACCCACAGGGTAAAAGATCAAGGGGAAGACCTGGTGGAACTTGGAGAAGAATCACGGAAATGGATGTACAGAAAAGTGGGAAGACCTGGAGTGACATCAAGCGACTAGCCCAGGATAGGGAAAGGTGGAGAGTGTTTGTTCGTGGCCTGTACCCTGACCCAGGGTGAGAAAGGCAATGATGATGATGAAAATGTTTGGTATGAAGTAATAAAGGATGAGTTCTGAGCCTTTCGGCAAAATGTTTCTGATTTCGATGCCCAGGTGGAGAATAGATAACTCTCGTGTTGAGTCAACACTGGCGTCAGTGTTGTCACTTTGTCGTTGCACGCAGAAAACGAGAGTTCGATTCCTGTGTGGAGACAATTGTTATCGAATCAGGTATCTCCGTCTGTCTTCTAAGAAGTCGTGTCCCTCTCTGCCCGGGTTGGCTCTGACAGGCGAAACCTAGCCGAAGCAGCCCACGTTCTAAATGATCTAAATTGTGTTGTTGGGGACATAAAACTCCCACAACTACAGGGCTTCAACAGCGTTTTTCTCCTTTTCATCTCTATCTCAGAGGTAGGATCCATTCCTCCTCGTCTAATCCCTGACTTCCTATATTGGATTTCGTTCTGTTCACTCTAAACACGTAATGGCTTTATCGATTTTATAATGATCGGGCAACCATTAACAGTACTACACTGACACTCGTATTAATTACGTCTTATTTTTCTTCAACTGTGCAATCAGTCGAACAATCGGATAGCGGAGCCTGGAAACCGAAGCCGATTGTCGGTCCGATCACTAGCCGTGGTTCGGAAAAAGAGAAAACAATATTTATTTTTCCTCACGTGTTAGGTCTAGAGCAGACATCGACGATTATAGTATCCCATTCCTTCTTGTTGTCAGTCTCCTGATCAGCCCAGTTTTTTTCATACATTGTTGTGTCTCAGAAAGTTGTTCAGGCAATCAGCGTATGTTGATTTGCTCTTCTTTCCCTCTATTTTTCTAGACAGTTGCAGTTGTAGTTTCTCAAGTCCATGTGTTCTAGTTTTGCGGCCAAAGAATCTCAGGCTGCACTTATTTAACTATACAGACACGCCGCTAGCGTCGAACGAAAACAAACCGGTCAGTTTAAGTGGACACACCTGTCATATAAATTAAAAGTTGCTACACGTACTCCGATTCGAGACTGATATCTAATTTTATGCCTTTATAATACACGTACAGCGTACTGTTCAAAGGCTTAAGTTTCAGCCACAAATTTGTTCCGTAATTATAATTAAAGCATGTAAAAAACTTGAACAACTTTGAGCGACGTTCAACCTTCGGTTGGATATCAAGTACCGGGCAGCTGTTAAAGTATGCACAGGAAGGCAGAAAGTAGTTCGAGGTGCCACTTTTACATTTCACTATGTACTATTACTACATAGTAAAAATAAGCAGACTCAAAATGTGGCAGGCTATTAAATTCAAAAATTACTTTTGATCTAACCGATTAGAGGTGGGAAAGAATCCCCCTCCCTCCCCGACAGGTGCTGTTGTTTACCATGATTTACTTTTAATTTCATGTTACCGAATATTATTAGGTATGGTACGGTTTCAACTGTTCTTTCTATTCAGCAAGTAACAACACCCTAAATTTAACATCTCCAATAAAACAGGGCCGTATGTGAGGCAGCGTGGGGAATCAGGCTCTCGTCAAAATAATCAAAGAGAAGAAACTTGCATTTTTCTGCTGGTTAGTGAAATTTTATCAAATTTTTGTTTTTTGCCTCAACACCTTTCATGCCCATTAAAGAACTCATTCCTGTGTGGATCTTCGTGAAAAACATTATTTAATTAAAGGCACAAAAAATGTAAATTTTCAGTTACCACGGACTCTAAAGCTAAGGAAATAACTAATCTGTGGCGGCCATTTCTCACTATTTTACCTCTGAAAACAGGGGACCCCCACCTCCTTCTTTCGCAAACATCTTGACTTGTATTCAAGATAAATAGATATTTTTTTCATCCAAATAAACACGAGTGAACAAGCTTTAAGATGATACCAATATCTGTACATGTCCAAAAATTGACGAGAACATGATTCCTCCACGCTGCCTCACATATGTGAGAGAGCTATCAAAAGTTCAAGATTTCCAACTTGGGATTTGAACCCCATTTGTCTGCAGTACAGTGCTTTAGCTATATATATATATATATATATATATATATAAAATAGAAGGAATTTGATGTATATATATAATATATATATACATCAAATTCCTTCTAACATCGACCTCACTGAGTTGGTAGTCTAAGCACACCACTGGCAGGTCCTACTTATTTTCTTTCGCTTTGTAACATCTGTTCGTTTTATCTTGCTTTTCCAAGCACTCAACAACTATTATTGTGATGATGTGCTGCTCTTCACTCAAGCAAGACTTGAGAAAAAAAATCTGATCTCAGCACAACAGGAATGCCAAATGGGTAATGTTTGGCTTAACATTTGACTTTGCGAAAGCAAAACACGTCATTTCTAAGACACAACAGTATAACTACGACCTTTCCCCAATACCCTATAGTCAGGGCTGATAGAAACCTTTCGACAACAGTAGGTTGAAAATTCAACCTTCCATATTGAGAATTACCAACTTTGTGACCTTTCTTGATTTATTGGACACAAAGCAAAAACAATCTTTTGCTGCGTAATCTTTGATTTATTCAACCAACCCTTCCAGCTATACACCATCAACAAACAGGACAATGTATCTTAAAACAAATTTTACATCAGTATCTGTTTCTTTCACAAGTAAGCTGTTGGCCAGACTGACCTGGACTACAAATATATATATATTTAAACAGTGGTAAAAACATGAATCATACTAGAGCAAAACACTCATTTCTTTGACAAACAAATTTAAAAGCGCCATAGATAATCAAGCTCCTTTCAAACAAAAATCATCCTAACATATAACAAGGCACAGGCAGCTTTCATGACATAAGGCACATCAATTAGCTCTACACTTCAGCAACATTGCTGTCTTTGTTGTCAGATAAATTCTGTGATCACTAGTTTATGTAGAACAAATTGATAAGTCTTATGTCATGAAACTTACCTGCACGATGTTATAGAAAAATGTATTGTTTCAAAGGACATTTATTTCAGAGGCTCAATTTGAATAAAATCCAAACAAGCAGCAATTATTATACACATGGCATGCAGACAGGAACCAACTTCTTCAAAATTCAAACTTCACACAAAAATATTTTAATGTTGTGGTCATCACATATCAATGGGAACATTCATTTATTATCACTATTAGTTGAAGCTACGGCTTTCAATTTAGCATCATCAAAGTCGTCCTATAGTGACAGTGCAAAGAAATGTAGCAACTGTAGTTTGCCCTTGAGGAAAACAAATATTTCACTCAACGGGCACTCACTATGTCGACCAGCAATACTGTTAAAAATCAAAAGTCAGCATTGGATGTTTGTGCTCTCTGTTATAAATGGTTATTTATACATGTAAAAGTTTCATATTGTTAAAAATAGGTCCTATTAGGAGCAATAAAAACAACAACTTTCATCTCTCTCCTGTTTCTCTCAACTCAAACAGCACCTATTTCAACAATTACGATTGTCATTATTTAGTGAGAGGAACCTCTTTTTTTTTCTTTCAAATTTTGTATATTTTAAGTCTTCAGCGAACCACGGCCCTTCACAACTGTGGCTGGATTCCTCCATAGCAAATGCTCTTCATCTCCAAGTACTCGTCAATGCCATACTTTCCGCCCTCCGAGCCTATGCCGGACTCCTTCCACCCACAAAAGGTCGCCTCTACAGCAGAGGTCAAAGCCTCATTGACCCCGACGATGCCAAACTCCAAAGCCTCGGAGACTCTGAAAGCCTGGGCCATGTCAGAGGTGTAGAAGTAGCCTGAGGAGCAGACGAAATACACATCCCAAAGTCAGACATGTTTTTGTTGTGCTTTTTTATGTTGGGTGAGGAGACCCACACTGACAGAATAGTCATTCAGAGCAGGGACAGGGTAAGATAGACAGAAACAACAGAGAGAAAGAAAAAAAGAGGAACGTACCAGTGGCATACTCCACTCACCCACCAGACTCACATGAAAACAAATGTTTACAAAAACAAATATGCACACAGATGATAGAAATGGACTCCTATAGATACACAAAGGCACAACATGAACATAAAATTAATGGAAAATTAACGTGATAATGTTTCAGTTTGCCGGCAACAGATTAGGATACCAATAACACTGAAAAGAAGTAGAAAGAGGGGCCACTACCAGTAACCCCATAAATTACTGACCAGGCCAAAGCCGACATCACCGACACACACTGACGGGCACAATTGTACCCACAAATAGAGGAAAGCAGAATATTTATGTACCATATCAACATGTACTCACATGCACATTTGCACGCACTCACACACACACACACACACACACACACACACACACACACACACACACTGTAAAATATCATACAAGCCAGAAAACAGTCTTACTAGCTAATCCGTAGCGCACAGAGTTGGCAATAGCCACAGCCTCCTGCTCTGTCTTGAACCTGCAGACAAAAAGAACAGTAATATACAGTATAACACGGGTAGGTCGAACACAGAAGACTCGAAATCACCCATCCGCTGAACTGTGCCAACGGTCCCAGTTTTTTTTTTCCTTCTTTATCTTTGTAAGATATCCCTCAAACAACGGATCCCTCAAACTTCCAAGGCCGGTCCCATAATATACTGTAATTGCATAAAATCTGTTCATATATCATTACATACAGTCTATCATGAACAAAGCGAAATCAGCAAGATGCAGAAATCTTTCTGTTACCCGGTATACAGTTCAGTCCCTTTATAACAGTCTCTGTTATTACAGAAATTTGGATATAACAGTAATAAATCAAATTCCCGTTTTTTCTCTCTATAAGTGTAAGTAATATGAACCAGGCTATAACAGGGTTCAATTTGCGCAGACTCAGATATAACAGTGATCTTGCAGCACATGAACTTGCTTTCCATCCGTCAAATTATAAAAATTTGTCTCAACCAAGACATTTCGCCTGTGTGTATGATCACAGATTTTCAAACACATACACACACCCTCCCCCCCATAGTGTTGCGACCATTGATCAATTCCGTCTCGGTGCAGGCAAAACAGCCCACTGGAAAAGGACCTGCGGTAATTGAATATATATAGTAAGCTGAAGGTGCAATGGTACTGGTAGTTTCCCTTGATAATGGTTATAACAGGACTCGCTCATAACAAGGAAAAACTGCTGGTCCCATCTCTCCTGTTATATCCGAGTCTGACTGTATATCAACTTCGTTAGGTACGTGTTATGAATAAAAAGAAAATACATGTAAGAAAAAAATCAGGACCTGGGAAATGTGTCCGTTATGTGCCTCAGAGACCGATATCTAAACACAAACTAAATTTTGGGTCACAAAAAACAATTGAACTTCAGAATCCTTAGTACTTTATGAAGATAGATGTAACAAAATATCACCCATATGCATAAATTAAACACTATGTGGAATATAAAAAAACTCTTATTTTTTTCTGACCTATTTTCTTAATTGTTTTTTAAAATTCTTTCCCTCCCACTATTTTTCTTTTACTAGTTCACTCAAACGATCTGAAAGACACAGAAGCAGAGAGACTAGAAATTGGGATATCTTGATAGAAACAGAGTGACTTACTTGATACAAGCTGCCACGGGTCCAAATATCTCCTCCTGTGCCACCCTCATGTCAGTGGTCACGTTAGACAACACCGTTGGTTGATAGAAACATGCACCGAGGGAGCCCTTCTCACCACCGGCCAAAACGTTAGCTCCTGAACCAACAGCATCCTTGACCAAGCCATCAACCTGATTGGAATGAAAGTGGAAAAATCGTGAGCCTTTGTTTGATCTACAGCAGTTGAGCGGGAGTTTCTGATGGGTGGACAAGACAACAGTCAAATATGGACAAGATATCAGCCATATGTTGACAGGATATCCGCCATATATGAACAAGATATCAAAATCATCCACATGTGGATAGGATATCCGCCATGTATGGACAAGGTATCAGCCATATGCTGACAGGATATCAGTCATATAATGAACAAGATATCAGCCACATACAAACAAGATATCAAAACCTTCCACATATGGACAAGATATCAGTCACGAGTGGACAGAATATGATATATCAGCCCTGTTTTGTTTTGTTTTTTCTTTTTTTAAGGCGACACATCATGGTGCATGAAGACATAAGAAGGTGCAGAACAGCCGAATTACCATAATGTCACTGAAAACATTCTCTACAATACTGAAGAATTGATAAATAGCATAAGAACACTTTTAACTGTGATGATGACAAATGTGGTCATGACAACAGTAATGTTGAGGATTAAGATGAGGATGAAATCTTCTTGGTCAAAACATTGAACCTTTTACAGCAGAAATTGGGGTACATAAATCTTTCATCGATAAGTGCTAGAACTGAAAATGCTCATCTGTTTTTACAACAAATGACAATGACGATGAAGATTAAGATGATGATGACAAAGAATTGTGGGGATTTTGTTGTAACAAATGCTGGAATTGAAAACTCTCCCCTCTAATTGTTATTGCAACAAACTACAATGAAGACAAAGACGAGGATGATGATGATGAAAATGGATCACATAGGTACCTTGGTTTCCATTTTGTCATCTTAACCTCTGGTGAGGCTGATCTAGAAGGGCGTTAAGCACATCCCTCAGTTTTAGACCCCTAACATACACATAGGAACAGTACAGTAGAACATGGCTAGAGCGGGACTTTTGGTTCCAGAAGAAAAATCCTGCTGTTGGCAAGTTAGGAATGCAAAGCCGAATTACTGAAAAATTTCTACATATCCACATGATTACTTCCCTTCCATATAAAAAAATATTGCGCTTAAGATAGATTAGTCTTCCTTTTCTTGTCAACTTCGTTGAATATCTCGACCTTTAATTCGAGTGAGAAGCATTTCCTTTTGTCTTTGTTGGAAGCCATCTTTTCCTCTGTCTTGTTGCTTGTGCTGTCTATCGTATCGGTAGGCCTACTGTAGAACTGGTGAAGTGCATCAACGATCGCAATTCAGTGAATCAGGAATCACAAACTCTTCTCTTCTTTCACTTTTTTGCCTAGGCCTTGGCACAGCATTTTTGGAGTGGTTCACATAAAGCGTCTCTCTGCACCATCTCTCTCTGCCGCCTGCGCCACCTCACTCATCACTGGACTGGCCAATCACAACGCGCACGAATGACTGCCTGTTTGGAGCCTGCCTACAGCACCCCCACCCCCTAACCTGCTTTCCCCTCAGCAAGAGCTCGCTCGATCTCTTCCGCTGTATCTAAGTTCTGACTTTCCTTGCCCCGCTAAACCCAAGCATAAGTAAATGAGTTTACATAGGAAAAAAAAGGAGGATTCCGGTCAAATCCCTCTGAAGGGATGGTCCCGCTGCAGCGGGTGCCGCTATAGTCATGTTCTACTGTACGAGCATTCATACCGCTCTCTTGACTCAGCTACACTGAAATAACATGACGAGCAAACTCATCATGCAAACACGTTAGACCCTCCCCCCAACCCCACAAATGAAACTTGCGTCTTTCCCTTACCTTTACCACAGCCTTTGCATTGATGAGTGGCCCCTGAGTGGTGCTGGACTCAAAACCATCTCCCATTTTCAGCTGGGCATTGACAGCCTGACCAAGAGCTTGAACAAACTCGTCATAGATTCCTTCTTGCACAAGGAAACGGTTAGCACAGATGCAAGTCTGAAAAGCACATACATGTCAATATAGGCTTACAGAAAACCCATGACAGACCTGTTGATTTATAGTTTACAGAGATGAGGTATTGTTTTCTGTTGTGTTGACTGGTATTTAACTAAGATGTTGAGATAATGTTTAGTTTTTTAAAGTTTTAGTAGAGGTTTTACGGCATCTGCAACTGCATTAGGTCATGTGAGCGCCAGAAGATTAGGTGTTACAAGAGAGTAACAAACATAAAAAAGAAGAAGGGGAGATAAGGACGATAGATGTTTGATAGGAAAGAAGAAACAAACTTCACCAGAGCACCCGCCAACCACCCATGAGATAACGTTTACTGAGATGTTGATTTGTAGTTCATTGAGATAACGATTTAAAGTTTACAGAGATGTTGATTTGTAGTTTATTGAGATTATGATTTGAAGTATACTGAGACGTTGAAACAATGTTTACTGAGATGCTGATTTGCAGTTTATTGCAGGCCGAAGGGCTAGAACTCAGATGGCCGCTGGATCGGAAAAGTAAGTAAAGAAAAGTAAAGTAGTTTATTAAGATGTTGATGTGCTGTTTACTGAGATGTTGATTTGTAGTTTACTGAAAGCCAGCACAATAGCAGCCTGACTTTCCCATGAACAGATTATTTTTCAAGTAATTTGAGAATGGGAGAAGCATACCCACACAATAGCAGCCAGCGAACAAGAGATAGACCCAAAAAAAACAAAGGGACGAAGGGATAATAAAATGGTCCAACCAACCAGTGGTACTCCTCAACAGTACACACTACAAACAGATTAGCAATATCGCAGTAATAGTGAAAAGAAGGAAGGGAAGAAGGAAGGAAGGGATTGAGTAATTAAGTAAATACACTTACCAAGCAACAAACTCACCTGTCCAGAACACCTGAACCTGCAGGCAATGGCCCCAGCCACAGCCGTTTTGACATCTGCACTGTTGAACACAATGAAAGGAGCATTGCCGCCCAACTCCAGGGAGGCTTTCTTCACTGTGCTGGCACACTGGGATAAGAGAATCTGAAGAAACACCAATAAGACTCAAATAGAAGGAGCAAGATTAATAACAAAAACATTAATTAGTATTTTTGTTTGTTCGGAGGGTGTTTTTTTGTTGTTGTAGGAGTGACCACCCTGGTAGATACAGATAAAGTCATTTTGAAGGCAGGGAACCTAGTTCCTGATCAGGACACCAGTAGAAGACCGAAAGTATGTTGAGAAGAACACCATTAATATGGATGCTGCACAAAATTGAACTCTGAACTACTTCGTGCCAGACAACTAAGCCCATATTGGTTCGCTTAGAAACCTGAGGAAGTATCAACTGTAGGGCCTACATAAGTACAGTACATAAGAGACTGAAAAAATCCCAAATACACATTTCGTTAACAAAACACTTTTAAAAAGTAAAAATTAGATACTAAGTTAACATGATAGTAGAGCAATGCATTTTTGCAGTAAAATATTTAGGGAAACATAACATTAGTGTCAACTACAAAAACTATAACTCTAAATGCAGTAATAACTTTCTTTTCACCATTTACAAAACAGGATCCATAATGGACCTCCCTACACATGATCATAACATTTTGATTAATGGTGATTATGATACAGTATAGATTGTACAGCCCACAGAGCTTGCTGCTGAGCGGGAATTTGCGCTATACAAATGATATCTATTATTCAACAAGCAATAAAACTCAGTCTTTTCATGCGTACAGACTGTTTATTGTGATATCCGAACAGCTTTATTTTATACTGATTACTCCGCAATAGGTTTTTAACACATCAAAATATCCAGAGAAATGGTAAGAAAAGAAACGTTTTGCCTAAAAAAGATATAAGTCTAGAGCTTTGTTATTTACACCTATTGCTAAAGACACTGACAACAAATTGCGTACAGTGATAATGCAAAACACCCGACACTTCATATGCTTACTCCCAGTGTGAAAGAATCTCGATACTATTGATACTGTGAGATTATTTAAACTACTCAAAGAAATTAGGACAAACTACTGGAAAAAAACAGAAGGAGCAGGCAAAACAAGAGCACCCACCAACTACCCTCAAAGCATGACTGGGACAAAAGCAAATACTAAGGCATATAAATCAAGCATAATCACATATTTCCAATCTGTTAAAACAACACTTAAAAGAAGCAGAAAGAGCAAACTATACCACATCATCCGTCAAAGTCACTCAAGTATGCGCATGTAATTATCAACCAACAGAACTGACATAAAGCCATAAACATACCCTACACAACTCACTGAAAACAGACACAGAGAATACAGTAATATATCTAGGTGTGTTCACCTTTCCCACTGCAGTAGAACCTGTGAAGGAGATCTTGGACACGATAGGACTCTCACACAACTCTTTCCCAAGGGCAGCTGCGTTGTCTCGGCTGCCAGTCACAACATTGAGAACTCCAGCCGGTAAGCCAGCTTCCTCTGCCAGCTGAGGATAAAAGAACAATCAAATTAACAGAAGCCATCTAAAAGCAGTACGATTTCAGAAGCTTACATGACTGTGATGTAAAACTGAAAAAGATATCATCATGAATATATAATGTAACACAAAGAGCAATCCAAGCCCCATAAATGCAAAAAAAAATTGTATTTATTTTCTTCAAGCTGGAGTAGCCATAAGCCTTGATTTTCCAGTGTCATATATTTATGTGCAAATATAACGTCTGTTTGAGAGCTGGCATTTGAACAAGAAGAAGAGGATTCCCACCTGACACAAAGCTAAGGCAGAGAAGGGTGTCTCCTCCGAAGGCTTCAACACCACTGTACACCCAGCAGCAATGGCAGCTCCTGCTTTCCTTGTCAGCATGGCACTTGGGAAGTTCCACTAGAGAAAAAGAAGGGAAAAAAAGTCCAAACAATGAACTAAGCACTGACTAAAGTTCCAGAGGCATTACTGAATTTCAAAAAGTAAACATCTTCTCACTTTTACTAAGCCAAACTTCAAACGGGAACAGATCTTTTTTATTTGTTTTGCTTTGATATTAAAATGACAAAGGTAAATTGCAGGTCTACCCTCCCCCCCCCCCCCCA